AGCCGCCCAGGCCTCGCTGATTTCCCCCAGGCCTTGCCGCCCCCCCACTCTGAAATGGCGGCGGGAGGCTGGCTGCAGAGCGTTCCCTGCGCATGCGCAGGGGACGCTCTGTCAGTTTCGGGGGGATTTAAACATACCCCCGATATTTTTTACAGGATTTCAGATTTTTGTGCACACCTGGGGACCGTCCCAAGTGTGCACAAAAATCTCCCTCCCCCCCAGGTGCCCCCGATGTGCAGAAATAGGTATTCGCACACCAGGGGGCGACTTGGGTATTAGATATATAGGTATATATAGCCACACAGGCTAATCTCTTTGTCTTATTCACACAGAATAGACTCAAACTCTCATAGTCACACAGACTAAACTGTTTGTTTTATTCACACAGAATAGACTCAAAAACTCCCATAGTCACACAGCCTATGCTCTCTCTTCAAACTTCACACACAGAATCACTCTCATAGACACCCCTCCTCCCACACTGTCAGTCATCAGCCTGTCACATCACACTTATCTCCCTCTATCACTCTCCTGACAGTACTGCAGTCACACTAAACATTTAAAGAAACACGCATACCAAAAATGGGATCATTACAAGCAATATCAATGAGCGGTACATAAAGTGCTAATGGATTACAGGTATAACAAGTTTTTCATATGAATTTCCATTAAACATGCAATATATCAGCCGTCTTTATTCATTTAGCAAAGAATCTCTAAATTATTGGGCATTACTTAATTAATTTTCAAAAGTACATCATTTCCAATATAATACGGGTTATTGGGCAAGGCACCATTTTCTGTTAAGTATTGAATCACTGGATACCAGATCTCCACCAATTTCGAGGCTGTATTTTCCCTGTGTGGTTTAAGGTATTACGCTGCGTTATCTTTCCTAATACAGAATATCCCCACTGTTTCTCTCTCCATGTTGTTATGGAAGGGGGTTTGTATGCGTCTCCAGCATGCTACAAGGCTAACCCAATCAGATCTCGGAAGCTAAGCAGGGCCGGCCCCGGTATCTACTTGGGTGGGAGGCTACCAAGGAAGTCCAGGGTCGCTATGCAATGGCAGGCAACGGCAGAACACCTCTGAACGTCTCTGTCTTGAAAACCCTGTAGAGTCACCGCAAGCCAGCTGTGACCTGACGGCGCTTTCTACCACCCGTCAATGCCCAGAATTGTTCTTGGCTTCACCCCTGTGACATATTTAACGCCAGGGCTATTTTTGGGCAGGAACACACAGGAACGGAGTTTTGGCTGGCTCCCGAGTTGGCCACGCCCAGCAGGAACCCATTAGCATAACAGGCCACACCTAACAGCAGAAACGCATTAGGATTGGCTACGTTAGGGGTGTGTGGCCTAACATGCAAAGGAGTTCCTGCTACAAAAAAAAGCCCTGGGTTTTGACAACAAACAAGGTCAACAGAATAAGACGCAAAAGGTGAGTGTGGCTGGATGACCACACTTCTGGTAACATGGGGGTGTGGCCTAATGTGCTAATGAGCTGTGCTGTCAAGGGTGTGGCCTAATATGCTAATGAGTTTCTGCTCTTGGGTGTGGCCTGTTATGCGAAAGAGCCCTGTTTAACGCTATGAATAGCAGATCCAGGAAGGGTCTGAGTCCCCCCCCCCCCCAACACTCAAAGCCCTTGGAAGAGTCTCTTTAGCTTCAGGCCGGAATAACTGCCACGTGTTTCTTCTGGTGGGCAACAGGTACTGCCTGGTGCAATTAGCTGGCAAAGGCCAGCCTACCCAGCAGAAGAGACGATGGCACGCAGCGACGCTCGTCTCATTGAATAAACTCTGTTAGCAAGAATCCATTGTGGTCTATGAGTCGTACTGAAGGGGGAGCCCAAGCGAAATATTTCTACGATCTGAAGAGAAACTGGAATATGGAGGAGCCAGAGTGCTTCACAAAGGCTGAGTGGATTCTGAGGCTAGAGGGCTGTTTCAACTTCAGAGAGCGGCTCCAGCTTCTCATTCCCGCTATCTCACAGTAATAACACTTGGTGTTAATGTTGTGCTTTCACCGTTTCAGGCGCACTATCTTGTTACATCCCTGCGGCAGCACTGCAGAGTAGTTCAGTGGTGTTATCCCCAGCATGGCGTAGCAGAGAGAGTGGCGGACCAGGACCCTAGGGGACCTGGAGCCCCGTGAGAGAACTGAGGCTTCTTTCTCCACTTCTGCCGTGGGAGCTCTTTTGAGTGACCCTGGACCCGTCTCAAGCTCTCAGCCTGGCCACAGAGTGAGGCAGGAGGCTGGACTAGATGGACCCTCACTGGTCTGATCCAGCAGGGCTCTTCTGAGGTTCTTATGAAGGCCTCAGCCTCTTTGCCCTGTTATTGGCCCTCCAGAGGAACTGGCTGGCCACTGTGTGTGAGACAGGAGGCTGGACTGGATGGACCCTCACTGGTCTGACCCAGCAGGGCTCTTCTGATGCTCTTATGAAGGCCTCGGCCTCCCTGCCCTGTTGTTGGCCCTCCAGAGGAACTGGTGGGCCCCTGTGTGAGGCAGGATGGTGGACTAGATGGACCCTCACTGGTCTGATCCAGCAGGGCTCTTCTGAGGTTCTTATGAAGGCCTTGGCCTCCATGCCCTGTTGTTGGCCCTCCAGGGGAACTGGTTAGCCACTGTGTGAGACGAAATGCTGGACTAGATGGACCCTCACTGGTCTGACCCAGCAAGGCTCTTCTGATATTCATAGGAAGGCTTCAGCCTCTTTGCCCTGTTATTGGCCCTCCAGAGGAACTGGTTGGCCACTGTGTGAGGCGAAATGCTGGACTAGAGGGACCACCGGTCTGATCCAGCAGGGCTCTTCTGATGTTCTTAGGAAGGCCTTGGCCTCTCTGCCCTGTTGTTGGCCCTCCAGGGGAACTGGTTGGCCCCTGTGTGAGGCAGGATGCTGGACTAGATGGACCATTGGTCTGACCCAGCAGGGCTCTTCTGATGTTCTTAGGAAGGCCT